ACCCTGATGTTGTGCTCTCCAAGATGCACCTCCACGCGGCTGGAGAGGAGAAAGAGGATCAGTGGCAGCTGAGTTTCGTGATGCCTGTTAAAAGCAGATTAATTCATGCAAAACCTTGTTTTGAAATATCAAGGAGTGACGTACGACTTGTAGCAGTGAGCAGCAGACACAACCCAGTTCTCGTTGACCAGGGAGCCACCACAGAAGTGATATCCAGAGTTCAGAGACACCTGATGGGGCTGGGAGTAGGGTGTGCACTCAACCCCTCCGACGATCTTGTCGTCCTCCGTGGCAACTGAAAACACACACAGGAGGCCAAATAGTCAGCAACCAAGTTTTTTTAATGACTGTAACTAATGAACACAAAAAAAAAGGCATATGCTTACAAGCAGCTCCGATGAGCAGAACAAAGACCAGAGACCTCATGGTTGCTATGTGATCCTGTTGATGAGAGACTTCTATTGGAGTCCTGGTTTATATGGATGGTACCTCTCCTGGATCCCTGCTGAACACACCCCAAAGATTATCTTCGACCAATCAGGATCCTGGAAAAAATATTTCTGGGTATTGGAAAAGCAAATATTTTGTTTACTGTGGGGTGGTGTGCACTGACATACTGCACTGGTGAAATTGTATTATTAGTAAATCTTTTACATAGCATGTTGAATACAGTTGTGGAGCAAGGACATTGGATGAGAAAACATTTTATGAATTTAAATGGAAAAAGCCTCATATGACATTCATATGACATGGATTGATTGATCTCTGAGTGCATAATGCTTGTATGTTCTTAAAATGATTTCACTAATCTGAGGAACAACAAATACTGTATTGTTTTTCTCATTTTTGCAGAGTACTCTGTAGGACTATATACTGTATGGCATTGCATCAGTATTTAGCACAGAATGTATTTCATAATCGTTAACCTTGGATGAATTTGTGCTGTGAGAAGACAGTTGCAGCTCTGCAGATGGCCTGGTTCACAACCACAGTTGTTGAATTTGGCTTTCACAGGAAAACCAACCCACGTGTCTTTTTGATAGAAAACCTCAAAACTGTTGATTCAGTGAAGTGACAAGAGACAAGCAACACCAAAAAACAAAATCACTTAATCACACAATTACTGTAAGAAATCACCAGTAAGTCCAACTTTCAGTGAATAAACTTTAAATGGGATTGCACATGATTTTAGTGAAGAATTTTAACTTCTTTTCAGTCTTAAAATTATTCTGATGATGTTTTTACAACATTGTTAAAGTGAAAAGGGATTTTGAAAAGTTGAGACAAATACAAAGATATATAACTGATTACATAATCACTAATAACAAACAAAATCACAGCAAAAAAATCTACACAATCAATTACCTTGATATCAGTGCAGATCTGCTGTTGGTGAACATTGCTGCAATTTCAGCATTAGTTCGGGTGGAAGATTAACAAGAACATGATTCCTCAGAAATTAGTCTGACAACTCAAAATCCACATAATAGGATTAACAGTTAATATGATTTTTCTCCACTTTTTTAGGTTTTAAATAGATTGCATTTTTAACTGCTCAACGATGACTGTTAAATATCATAGCAATCAAATAGATTGGACTGTGATTAAAAAAAAAATATGCAGTGGACTACAGTATTATTTGCCAGTACATTAATTATCCTAAATTGAACATAAACAATTTTCTGAATGGATTATTTTCACTTTAAGATATACACCCATTATGTGCTGGTCATTATGTTAGGCTTGTTGCAAGTAAAGTTTCATGCACTCTTGGCTGACTCTTCTAGTACTGATCAGTAACTCAGCCTTGATGAAGGGCATTATGTGAATAATCCAGCTGTTTCAGTGATATTGGCTCGAATATTTTTGGATCACAGGCCTTGATTTATGGGTCAATCACCTGAAATGAACCACCTATATCTGGTGTTAGTACCTCACCAGGTTTTTGTTTTTTTATTTTGATTGGCAATTGTTGAACCAACCAGGCAGCTTGGAGCAGATATAAAACAGGGATGGATTCAGGTAATCTAACATATCAGAAACTGCAGCCATGAGGTCCCTGGTCTTTGTTCTGCTCATTGGAGCTGTTTGTGAGTGTGATACTGTATTTGTAGAGCAGGCTGCGCTTTCATGCCTCGTGCACTTTTGCATATCTTTTGCAGCAAACTAATAACTATTTCTGGCTGTCTTACATCTGTTTTCAGTTGCCACAGAGGATGACAAGATTGTCGGTGGGTATGAGTGCACGCCCTACTCCCAGCCCCATCAGGTGTCTCTGAATGCTGGATACCACTTCTGCGGTGGCTCACTGGTCAACGAGAACTGGGTTGTGTCCGCTGGTCACTGCTACAAGTCGTAAGCATGCTCGAGATATTTTTTAGGCCTCACTTAATTCATCCGATGAGCAAAAAATCATGTAAACATAAAAAACTAGCATCCATTCTGTACCATCTTCTATCTTCTATCTCTTTCAGTCGTATTGAGGTGCGTATGGGAGAACACCACATTGGACTCACTGAGGGTAGCGAGCAGTACATTAGTGCTTCCAATATCATCAGACACCCATATTACAATGCCTACACCCTTGAGAACGACATCATGCTGCTCAAGCTGAGCATGCCCGCCACCCTCAACCAGTATGTGCAGCCCGTGTCTCTGCCCAGCAGCTGTGCCCCTGCTGGCACTATGTGCAAAGTCTCTGGCTGGGGCAACACCATGAGCTCCAGTGAGTAGAAAACAGTTATTTCTGACAAACTTAGATCTCTGAAATTGGTGTAAATGCACTACACGATCCAACCATCCATCCCTACTGGACACCTCAATTTTGTTTTCTTGCTGCAGCTGCTGACAGCAACAAGCTGCAGTGTCTGAACATCCCCATACTCTCTGATGAGGACTGTCACAATTCCTACCCCGGCATGATTGACAACACCATGTTCTGTGCTGGATACCTGGAGGGAGGCAAAGACTCCTGCCAGGTGTGTGCCCATCTGATTTGTTATCACTATATTTTTGAATTGAACTTTTTTGTGTGCTTATAATAATGCTCTTTCTCTTCCTCAGGGTGACTCTGGTGGCCCCGTTGTGTGCAATGGTGAGCTGCAGGGTGTTGTGTCCTGGGGCTACGGATGTGCTGAGAGAGACCACCCTGGTGTCTACGCCAAGGTAACATTTCACTGCATCAGCATCATAAATATTGTCCTCTTTAATGTAGTTACACTGTAACAAACTATCTTTCCATTTTCAGGTCTGTGTGCAGACTGATTGGCTGTACAGCACAATGGCCAGCAATTAACTCCACCATTCGACCCCTACATCTGACAACAAGGCATGACTGACTGTCCAAATGACAACTTTGTTTTCGCTGGAGCTGAAGAAACTATATATAAATAAAGTGTTTGAAATTAATCATTGTGACATAGATGACTTATTTAGACAATCTGTAGATGTTTTCAGCAGGTTACAGGCCATTATTGTTAATAAGAATGTGTTATTACATTTACAGGGAAGCAAAAAGTAAATAAAAGTAAATAAACATGACAATGAAATAAAAATACAGATTTTCTACTTTATCCATTGATCATAAGTTGATATGAAGCACAGAAGTAATAATGAAAACTATTATTATTTCTAAATTAACCACCACACTACTACACCATCACTTGTATCAGCACATAAAGAAATATATTGTTTTCACTGTTAGACCATTAAAACATTGGCACAATATAATCTTAGCAATGAGGCCATCAGTATTTTTTCCATTTGGGTAAACTTTATATATCCAATTTGAACTGAGAAAGACAAATTAACATGATTCTAAATTATATATTTGTTCTGTGAAACAACTTTCTTGAGGTCCTGGCAGAGTTTATATATAATATATAAATATATGTATACACTTGTATCATTTCTTTGCTAATCTTTGTTTTTGTTGCCTTGTCTCTGATTTCAAATATTTAACACATTGGTTTCTGCTGCTGGCACTGCTCTGTGCCATTAACTTTTTTTTACTCATAACCTTTTTATTTATGGAAAATGCATTTAAAACAGAAAATTACAAAGCTTATAATTACTTTCCCAAAGGCAGCCTCACCCCTTATATGTGTATTTAGTTTTAAGGCAAGATCTACTGAGAAACACACAGCTGTGAGATACTGCGTTTGCCATATCTAAATATAGAGGTGTGCCTGTGCAATCTGACAAGAGAAACATGAGCCAACTTTCAATAAATAGGTGGTAGAGTCAGACCTTCACCAAAAAAAGTAGAAACACTAAATAATCCACTGATAAAGCTGCAAAAGAAAATAAGTACTCATATAAATAATGATTCACTTGCAGACTGTTTAATTATTGATGTTTTTATGTGTTTTACAAAGATGAACTCTATAAACCAATAAATCATATTTCAGAGCTTATGATTTATTTGGCATCTAAACCATAGTTCTGCTGAGAGCTAAAGGGTATATAAAGTTGACAATATTTCTCTCTGAAATGTTATTGAGTCATTTTAAGTATAAAGACTGTATGACACTGTATTTCAGCACCTATACTACACATAGGTACAATGTACTTATTTTTAGAAGTTTTCTCAAGAACATTGAAATGTTCAACATCTCTGTCATCATGTGTGCCAAGTTAACTCATAATATAAAAAACCCCAACAACAATTAATTGGGCTGTGAGTGTTAATCTTAGTCTAACAAGTCATGTGTGGCCAGCATGCAACAATGATGTAGTAATTTTCATAAGAAAGGTTTAATTTGACACAAATTAAAAAACAAAGTGATAACATAATTTTAACTAACACATTGTTTAGATATTATGGGTCATAGAAATATTGTTTTATAAATACATAATCCAGGTACCAATATGATCCATATTCATACTTTATAGTTTCCAAATTTACTGACAAGAAAGCTTCTAAAAATGTGTAAAATGTCTTAAAAAAGTGTTTTTTGTGTAAGTCTGGAAATGAACTAACTAATCTCAACATCCCGCTACAGAGATTGGTTCCTCACTGACCAATGAGGACGACCAGAGAGCAGGGCAGTTCTCCTGAGCGTGGATATAAACCGGGGCTCCAGGGTAAGTCCTCTCATCCAAAAGATCACACCAGCAACCATGAGGTCTCTGGTCTTCGTTCTGCTCATCGGAGCTGCTTGTGAGTGTACACAAAAGGACATTTTGCATTCAAAGAGATTTTCTGGTAAAGAGCACTTTAAGCAAACTTCTAACTGCTGATGTGTGTGTTTTCAGTTGCCACGGAGGACGACAAGATCGTCGGAGGGGTTGAGTGCACACCCTACTCCCAGCCCCATCAGGTGTCACTGAACTCTGGATACCACTTCTGTGGTGGCTCCCTGGTCAACGAGAACTGGGTTGTGTCTGCTGCTCACTGTTACAAGTCGTAAGCACATGTTTTTTCCAGGGTTATAGGTCTGACTTACTTGAGTGTTATGCAGATTAATATTTGATTGTCAGTTTTGTGTGTTTTCTTTTCACTAATCCCTCTTTTTTCAATTGCATTTAGCCGTGTGGAGGTGCGTCTTGGAGAGCACAACATGCAGGGGTCCACGAGAACACGCGGCAACGTTCATCCAAGCTCCTCCGTTTCCATCCGCCACCCAGACCTACCAGCCCTACAAACCATCGCAATGCATCCCATAGCTGATCAAGCTGGCCAAGCCCGCCACCCTCAACCAGTACGTGCAGCCGTGGCTCTGCCCACGCAGCTGTGCTCCCGCTGGCACCGCGAATGTGCACAGTCTCTGGTTGGGGCGAACACCATGGAGCTCCAGTTCGACGTAATAAACTCCTGCCATTGTGCTTAACATGTATGTTTTAACTGCAGAGCTCCAGGTTTAATTCTTTCTTTCTCTCTGTTTGATCACCCGAAGCTGCTGACAAGAAGAAGCCTGCAGTGCCTAACATCCCATCCTGTCCTTCAAATGGATTGCAACACAACTCTACCGCCTGGCAGATTCATGGATGCTCATGTTCTGCGCTGGGATACGCTGGAGGAGCAAGGACTCCTTGCCCAGGGTCCACTAACAAGCTTGACCTCTGCAGGAGGCTCTGCTCAATCCTAGACCCCACGAGTGCATCTTCAGTTTTTCAACAAACACATCTTTCCCTTTATCCTCGTCTTTTAAGGGTGAATGCATGGTGGCCCCGTGCGTGTGCAACGGTGAGCTGCAGGGTGGTTGTGGTTCCTGGGATACCGGATGTGCTGAAGGGACCACCCCGGTTGTCCTAACGCCAAAGGTCTACAACCAAAACAATATCTTACTAATGAAATACTAGGTAGCTATTTGAATTCTCACAACATTGTTCTGCCATGCCAAGTTAAATAATTCAATGATGGACCAGCTAGCTTTCATGCTGAACACACCTTGTTCTGGTCTCCCATTGTCCCCAGGTCCTGGCAATCTTCAACACACTGGCTCGGAAGCAACCCCCACCACCCACCAGTGGGCCAGCTATCTACGTCTGAATCTGGCTGCCACCACTAATCACATTTACTCAGCTGCCTTTCTTCCTCGTCATCATCTTAACAACCAATCACGTTTGTTCTGTACGTGCATTTTTGAACATTGCAGTAATCTTCCATCCTGAGTCACCATCAAAGTCTCTACATCTTGGACTTCATCAACAACAATTTGTTTTCTTTCTAGTCTTTGCCCTGTCTCTTCCTACAATGCAAAAACATGCTTTCGAATACTCACTCACTTGCTTACTGCTCTTCAAGATTCAACCACTAAGGCAAGTTAACTGATATCGTTACATCTAAGTACACTTTCATTCTGACATTCCCAAACTTGGTGGAATGAAAACTACAACACATCATGCCATATTTAACAGTTTAGCAGTGCCTTAGACTGATGACGATCTTGATACCGCAATGTTAGGTTTTTTGCAAACCCACCAAGGCCAACTGTATCAAAGAGATGATAATTTGTTATATAAATTACCCTAAAGTTGATCCTTTTAGAGCTACCATGTGAGACTTTACTGCTTAAAATATTACAACAGGTGTTAAAATTTCAAGTAGTACCTGAACCTAAATGTCAATGGCTCTGCCCACCAGCTGTGCTCCCGCTGGCACCATGTGCACAGTCTCTGGATGGGGCAACACCATGAGCTCCAGTGAGTAATAACTCCTGCACTGCGTGCCTCAACAATGGTAAGTCTTTTTACTGCTATGTACTCCAGGTTAATCCTCTTTCTTCCCCCTCTCTTGATTCTCCAGCTGCTTCACAAGAACTCAAGCTGCAGTGCCTGACATCCCCATCCCCTGTCACTTCACAGGATTATCTGTAAACTCCTACCGCTGGCATGAGTCACTTGATGCCTATGTTCCCTCGCCTGCGATACCTGGAGGGAGGCAAGGACTCTTACCAGGTACGTAATTCAATATTCATGCAGGAATAATGCAATAACTGTATGAAATGGCCCTGGTATGGCTTGTTGAGTTTTATTAAACTTTTTAAAGTAATTTCACACTTTATACTCTCTGTTCTCAGGGTGACTGGTGGCTCCGTTGTGTGCAACGGTGAGCTGCAGGGTGTTGTGTCCTGGGGCTATGGATGTGCTGAGAGGGACCACCCTGGTGTCTACGCCAAGGTAACTACGATATTTAATCAACACACCGTGTCCAGTTTATTCTGTCATCCTGAACTGTGATGCTATGCTGATTCATTGTTCTAACACTGGTTTCATTTCATTTTTAGGTCTGCATCTTCAACGACTGGCTTTAGAGCACCATGGCCAGCTACTAAGTGATCCAAACAAGTCCAGTCAAGCAACTCAACATCCTTTGCTGTTTATATTCCATCTTCTGTGCTGGACAATACAACAACAAATAATAATAATAATAATAATAATAATAATAATAATTAATTAAAGCACAACATTTGTGTCTATGTTATGTAAAATCATTTCAAAGAACAGATTTTTTGTATAGTAGAGTATAGTTCAAGAGGTCTTTTTTATAATCTTGTTTCTTTTTTATTATGACTGACTTCCAAGGTCCACAGCACACCTGGTTTAAACTGACATCATTAATAAGGCTTAAATTATAAATTTACATGGAATTCACATTCACATGGAGTTTTCCAAACATAGTGCATTATGAATTACTGATAATTATCAGTTTACCAAACAACAATGACATAAAAACAAACTAAATTCTGCAAGTAGTCTTTCTTTGTTTATAAGATATTGATAGATTTCAAGGTACTTGCTAAACAGGTACAAGGAAAACAGAAGCGTGTCACATCCTCTGCCTACTATTAAACAACTAAACAAATCATCGAGGCATTATTTGTTTCCATGACATGATCATTTTGTTTGCTGTTGCCTCAGACGTATGCTCCCAAGTTGATGTTGCTATCCTTGCTCTAAAATGTTGTACTGAGTTAGATGAATTTTAAGGCATTGACATTGTATTTAGATTATTAGATAATAGATTAGATTAGATCATTTTGGGTTATTCTTTTGCATATTGGTAACACATATTACTCCCACTGGCTAATACTAAACCATATTGATTTTCTGTGTAAAGTATACTTCCACTATATAATGTTGACATGCCTTTCACATTAGGATTCTATCACTAACTTGAGCTTAACTGGTCTTTTAACCCTTTATGACAGTATTTGAATGGAAATATAAAGCAGCTCAAAGGACCAGGTACTTCTGCTTTACCAGAAGTCTCACAATTCTTTAGAGGAGGGATGTCTGCCGGTTGTTGCCAATTAATAATTCAAATTCATTCAGCAGCATTTTGAAAAATGAATAAATTAATTATAAATGGTTATTCAAAATGGTTTTTTTAAAGGGGGCTTTAAATTTTACATTTAGTCATTCATTTACTGATCTGTCTTCCTGTCATATTACATTTCATCACCTCTTTTTGTGTCTTGTGTCACTGTGATAATGATGAAGAGGGATAATCCACAATCCTGGACAGAGCAGCAGGTGCATTGCAATCTTCTCTGTCTGTGTAGAACAGATGGGAGATATTTCTGTGCATGCAACTGTCCATCTATTGATTTCAGTCTATTGTTGCTAAAAAATGTCAAACATGTGCCATCCCTTTGGCATAACTGGCTGATGATGGCTGACTTTCAACAGCTTCAAGTAACCTTTCATGGACCAGAAAACAAGGCAATTATGGCAAGCGAGACATTTCTTTTCTCGAAAAAGAGGAAAAGCAATTGCAGTGTTTTGAAGATAATTTTTACCTTGATGCTGACGATAGTTTAAAGTGATGATTTCCTACTGAATGATGCTGTCAGATGATCAATCAAAATTGTGCTACAAAAGCGTGTTCTGCATCAGTTCCCATTTTTTTCTGCTAAGCTTTAAATAACTTAAATAGTTTTTTCCATGTTCACATAGTACAGAGCACCAACTTTTTAAAATTATCTTAAAAAAATGTCATATTAATTTAATTTCAGTCCATATATTGCTCAAAAAAGAATGAGGAATTTGGAGGTCCCTGGTTTGAATGTCCTATTGGACATGAGCACACTTCTGTTCATTTCCAAAAGCAAACCCTGTTAATTGACTTTGACCTTAAGAATTTGCTCATCATTTTAGTCAGAATAAAGCCAAATATTGTCAAGAAATCTAATGACTTTGCTGAAAAGCATTGTGATGAAACAAATCAAGGCACCCAGACATTTTTGAACCACAAAACCTATGACAGAGATTATGATAAAGACTGTTGTTCTTTTCTTTGAGTTTCTCTGCCACCAGAGATTTGCTAAGGCAAGGACTCATTGGAAAAATGAAAATGGAATTCAAACTCCTTTTTGGATTCTTGTAGTATACTGACATTGATAAATGGGCTGTTGCAACATCTGTGACCTTCTTTTCCAGGTGTATAAAGCATTTTGCACTTGGGAGACAGAAAATCCAAATGAGGCAAATGTTCATGTACTCCGAGAAAACTAAAAGACTGACAATACACTCCTTATGCAGGTTTGCAAAAGCTTTCATTAATTGATTAAAGTAAAAGTTTGTGTTAGTTTGTGTTTAATATGGGTCAAAGAGAAAGTGATTTTGCATGCTGACATTAGCTGTAATTGTTTGACTGTTTTTGTTTTCGTGGAAATGTCACAACTGAATTGAAAAAAAGTATTTAGAAAATTCTAACAGTAACATTATCGCCCAAGAGAATCTGCACTTTGATCAGATGCAGCACTACAGTATTGTCAACAATAACAAACACACTGATGCATCACAAAATGGTAGATTTTATTGATTGTGCTCTGACTAAAGACATTTCACATCTCTTTTTCTCTATCTCTCCCACCGTTTCTCCTTGTGGCTCTCCCTAAGCCACTCTCCTGCTGCTTTTCTTTCTGACACTACCCACCACCACCTCCTGTCTCTGTCTCCTTCAATTTTAATCTCTCTCTGATTTCCCCTCTCTCATGTAGTTCTTTGATAGGAGATCACAGCCTAACTGTATCTGGAGAGAATATCGTTGATCCAGGGCAGCAGAGAGCAGACTTTGGTGTAAACGCCCGGGTAGTTCGGCTGAGCGCAGCCCTGGCCCCAAGAGACAATACCCTGCAGCTCCCCGTTACACACCAGAGGACCACCAGAGTCACCCTGGGCAGAGAAGAGAAAGAGGAAGAAGAAAAGAGTTTATTCAGTCCATCATCTCATCTCATTAAATGTTAAACAGAGCACCAATCTATTTTATGTGCTGTGTAATTGTGTGGAAATACCTGACAAGCGTCCTTGCCTCCCTCCAGGTATCCAGCGCACACCATGCGGTCAGTAATCATGCCAGGGTAGGAATTTTCACAGTCCTTGTTAGACAGAATGGGGACCTCCACACACTGAAGGTAAAATGGGTTGAACACTGCAGAAACGAAAGGTAAAATATCAGTTAGTATAGTTGACTGTTGACCCTTGAATAATGACTGTCTAATCATAGCTTAACAACCATAACTAGTTATGACAAGTCTGTCAAGCTCTGGCTTGTTTAAACTGCTTACATGGGACTCTAGTAAGGGCAATACTCTGGTATTAAAGGGGAGGGTGGTGTTTTTTTCAATCACCTTTCCAAATCCAAAAACGTTAGAGCAAAGGTATAATGAAGTCAGCTGGAGACAAAGATTTCAAGCAATTCAGCTGTTAGCATTAGCTTATGCCACACTGGTTTAGGTGCAGCTGATAAACCCTATAAGTTATGTATTGATATAACAATGAAATATTAACAGTTGTTTCAGAAAGGCTAAATAACAACAACATAAGGCTACAGTTTCAAAATTAAATAATACATTATTAATCAGAGCACTCACATAAGAATGTATTGCTGGCAGAGCACTAAATATTTTTTTAATTTTTGGACAAAAGCAGTTAAAAGCTGACTGTCCCTTTACTTCCTTTTGTCTGTAGATTGCTACAATGTTAGCATAGGAAAAGTTCTATTTATAACCACAAAAATTAAGCAGATGAAGAATCCAGTGATGTGTTCTGTCCGTCTACTGATCTCCTCCGCTCCGCTTCAGTACTATGGACAGTGCGGTCGATAGTAACATGTACATCAGCCAATCATTTTGTTGTTTTTGCTGTTTTTCTTTAAAGACATAAAGCAGAAACAGAGGGGGCAAAACATACAACTAAGCCCACTTAGTCTAATTGTCACAACTCTAGCCAGCTCAAAATGTTCATTCTATTGTTTCTGTCACGTACTAACTCATGTCAGTCCAGATTCCTGTCCTGCATTACCCACACCTGACCTTCCCCTCACACTCACTCACCTGCTTCCCATTTCCCCTTATCAGCCCAGTACGATATATTTCAGTTGCACTAGTGCTGCGCAAGATTGTCTAGTTGGCATGTGGTCTGGGTTTCTAGCATTAGTTTTCTGATACTGCCTTCACCCATGCCTGATTAATGATTGATGATTCTTAGCCTGCCTTTTCTGATTGATCTCCTGGTTATGACTCTTACCTGTTTTTGGAATAAAGCCAACAATACCTTTTACTCAACTCTGACTGTTGGTGTGTTGTGCTATTGGGTTCGAATCTGCTATGTGTCATTGCACAAATGGTGTATTGGATTTAAACAGGCTCTAGATTGGAATCTAGTTGGGGAAATTTGTCAGCCATCAAACAAAAGTGAGCTTTCAAATGAAGTTAAATCTTGGGAGGTTTTTATCTTACAGTACTTGGACATCATTTGGCACAACATAAGAGAAACATATTCAAGCTAATTGTCAAGTTTTGCATCCATGGTTTCTAGTAAATTTTATATAAAGTGTTCACACTATATAATATATTTGGGAAATCTTTCAAGGAAAATTCACCGATATCTTTTTGAATCTCATGATTAATTAATAGTTTGTAGATGATGGCCTAAACAATAGCCCCAGTCTTTAAATGTATGTCATCTGCTGTGCACAATAGTGGCTCTACTCTTCCTGCCTGGTTAATGTTTTATTTCATAAAAGTTTGATCATTTTTATGATAGTAGCTAAGGTGGTCTTCTGGGTGAGTTAGTCCACTTGTACGAAAACACACTGGGAAACTCTGTTTCTCGTTTCTAGTACATGACAGCAGTCAAGAAATGAATGGATATCAGTACTTAGTGGTTTATCAAAGGCTTTTGTTAAAATGTGTTTTATGGAAGGCCATGAGTGTAATAATTTATTGTATTTTGTTTCTTCTGGTGATCTCAAGAAAGACATCAAGAAACAGCAGAACATTATAAATGTTCTGTTATGATGAGCAAAATGCTTGACGACTTTTAATGTCAAGATCGGGTACATCTCACCTTCATCAGTGTAGATGTTCCCCCATCCGGACACCGTGCACATGTCCCCAGGTGTGGGGCAAGCAGTGGGCAGGGCAACAGGCTTGACGTACTGGTTCACGGTGGCGGGTTGTGCCAGCTTCATCAGCATGATGTCGTAGTCCAGGGTCTGGTAGTCGTAACTCTGATGCCAGTAGATGGCATCTACTGACATAAACTGCTCCGTGCCCTCGTTCATCCAGATGTGGTTGTCACCCAAAATGGCAATCTGTGAATAGGGGCTAAAAAAAAAAGGCAAACAACAAAATTATCATAATTCTCTTAAACAGACAGTTCATACAGAAACTTTTTAATGCATTAATGTAATACAAACTTTTGCCAGCAGTGGGCGGCAGAGATGATCCACTGGTCATTGATGAGGGAGCCGCCGCAATAGTGGTAGCCGATATTGAGAGACACCTGCCAGGGTTGTGAGTGGGCTGAACACCGGTAGCCACCCACAATCCTGTCGTCCGTAGGGGCTGCAGCTGTGGTGTGAAGGAAATACAAAATTCTTCATATTTATCGTAGTTACAACTAATTATTTTACCCTAATACCTAAGATCTCAAATGTGCTTTACCTGCAGCGCCCAGGAGTGTGAGAACAATCAGGCCAATCATCTTGTGGCTGACTCAAACCTTCCTACGACCAGACTGGACGAGAATAATCTGTCACTCACTGCATTTATACCTAAACTCCTCTGTGTCTTTCCATTCACCACCTCCCCCCTCCACACCTCCATACCTCCACCCAGTTCTACCCACCCACACAAACCCCCAACGAGTCTCTGTCCACTTCTCCTGGCCCAATCCGTGCCCAGAAAAATAACCTTATCTTCTTGTTATCCACGTTCATCCTTTCAGTTAATAAGTGAGCCACATCTTACATGTTTTCAGCCTTGGAGAGTGTTTGTTGTACTCTGTTTTTGATAGATAATTTTGCACCTAAATAAATGTGTCTGTTCTCTTTTTATGGATGATGCATGTGTAATTCCATTTTCAGCAAACACCATAATTAATTATTGTAACCAGCCATATTGTACACATTACACATTGCTTTAATACAATAGAACAGAATGATTTCATCTTTTTTTAGGGACTTTTGTCTTATCTGAATCAAAGCTCTAAAGCAAAATTGTGGCAAATTGTGATTGGTGATATTGGGCTATATAAATACAATTGACTTGACTTGCATCTGCACTCAATAGAGCTTAAAAGGCTATTGATTGCTATCTGACAGAGAAACAAAAAACTATACAGTATACAGTAGGTTTTTTTTAGTTTTCTGCTCCTGGGACCATTATTTCTTTCTCACCTCTCTTTGCCAAACAGCGCTTTTATGTATTTTGGCCTTTTTTTTAAAACTAAAACTACTATTTATAAAATGTCTGCTGATAGACTCTCTTGGTTATTATTTCTATAATTTTGTTCTTCCTCACCCCCCTTTTTTTAGCCTGATATTAAATATTAGATCCCTTGAATAGATGAGATCCCTGCAATATATCACTTTATTTAGCAAGCTTTTGGTCTATCTGACCTTCATCAGAGCGTACATATTGGGCCAAGGCTACCAGAAGGTTTGTATATTGTAGCTTGCCAACAATGAGTGACCCATGAAAAAACTATAAACAGGTGTTAAATGTGTGGAGACCTTGGTCCACATTTGTAAGTGAGGCGCAAACATGAAAATTGGGGCATGATAAGAGAGTAGATTTGGAGCTGACAAGACGAAAGAACGGAGTGTGAGGACACACATGGGGTCAACAGAAAGAGGAAAGAGAGGAGGGGGGGGAGGGCGAACGGCTGAGCACAGTGGGCCTGGCTGGATATAAATATAAGCTAGGGTGTGTCCAGGTGTCTTCTGATCATTCACCTGACACCATGAGTCTGCTGGCTTTGCTGCTGATGGTTGGAGCTGCTGGTAAAGACACAGAAATAGACACATGCACAAGGATACATGCAACACATACATACTTACATATGTACATATGTATACATGAGAGCACACAGCCATATATGTACACTGTAATGTCAGCGATTTCAACAACTTTGAAACAGAAATCTTACTCTTCTTACTTCTTCTGTGTGATTATGTGTGTATAACAGCGGCAGTTCCACGCGAAGATGGCAGGATCATTGGCGGGCAGGACTGTGAGCCTCACTCTCGTCCATTTATGGCCTCCCTCAACTATGGTTACCACTTTTGCGGTGGGGTTCTCATCAACACACAGTGGGTGCTCTCCGTTGCCCACTGTTGGTACAGGTAAGTGTGCATTAATAGAAGACAGATTGCCTTTAAATATTATATGCATCTCTTGTTGCCAAGTTTTTTTTTTTTGTTGTTTTGTTTTTCTTGTCTTGCTAGTTTTTTTTGCAATTGAGATTAAAAACAATACAATAAACATTTGCATTTGGAAGACTAATGCTTTTCAATCTAGGACCATATGTGGAGGACATCTGTTAAGTGGAAAAATAAAAATAGTGCAATCTTTGCAAAATAGACGAAGGAGATTAAGACTTTTTAAGAATGATAAGAAATAAAATACTGAAAGGTTTTTTGGCTTCCACATTTTTCTAGTATATTTCACCTCCTTTCTCAGTCCCTATGCCATGCAGATCATGCTGGGAGAACACGATGTGCGAGTGTTTGAGGGTACTGAGCAGCTCATGAAGACCGATACAATCATCTGGCACCCTAGGTGAGTGAAAAAATTAACCTGTCTCTTCCCTTTGCATGATTTCATGAAGTTCTGATTCATTCATTCAGTGCAGAGAAACAGCCAAACTCTAAAGCTTATTTTATATTTCTCTGTGTGCAGTTATGACTACCAGACTCTGGATTATGACATCATGCTGATCAAGCTCTTCCACCCAGTAGAGGTGACTGCAGCAGTCGCACCCATCCCGTTGCCCAAAGGGTGCCCAGTAGGAGGGCTCCCCTGCTCTGTGTCTGGCTGGGGTAACACCGCCATGGATGGGGGTGAGTTGATAAAGATTTAAATTATACAGTTAAAGTGTGCCAAGGATAACATGCTTAATGCCATAAGGTGTGGAATTTGTAGTGTAGAATGTCATTTTAGCTTTTTTAAAATTACTTTGATGGCAAAATGCTTTGTTTCTGGGAAAATGACACAATATCAATGCAACTGGTGTATGTTTGTTTTCAAACCATTCACTTCAGAGTCTCCAGGTCCAAGCTGGGCAGGGAGGGGCAGTGTTCTATTATATAGGCGTCCACTGGGGGATGTCAAAATTGGCCATTTAAAAATTCCACACATAGCAGCTTATCCTGTAGTTGACCCCACACATCGTCCTGCTGCTGTAAATACTCACTAGAGGACCGAATGTGTATTAAACCAGGGCGAAATACACAATTTACTCCTCTTTCAGTAACTTTTGAAAAAAAAAACCAGGGGTACAGCTGTTTTAGTAAATGACTTACCCTTCTTTAAAAATAAATGTATATATATTTGGAATCTGTTTTTATAATTTTACAGATGAACCGATTTAAGATTTGGTAGCTACAAATGGCCTTGGGCCTGACAGCTACAGATAGGCTGGAGAAGTGAGAAATTATTAAGAAATTGAATAACACATTATTGATTCTTTCATGGGATTTGTTGACAGGTACAGATGTCTCAAAGGTCTCTGTTCTGCTTGTTACAGTGAATCTGCCCACCCGTCTGCAGTGTTTGGACGTGCCCATCGTGGATGACCAGGCCTGTGAGAACGCCTATCCTGGCATGATCACACGCAGAATGATGTGTGCTGGATACATGGATGGAGGCAGAGATGCATGCAATGTGAGTAAATGCTTTGAAAGACTAACTCAACTTACAGCTCTGTATGTGTGAAAGAATTCATCGGTGTACCTGCTCACACTCGCTTCCTTGTGTTTGTCAGGGTGACTCCGGCAGCCCTCTGGTGTGTCTTGGAGAGGTCTACGGCCTGGTGTCATGGGGTCAGGGATGCGCCGTGCCTAACTACCCTGGAGTCTATGTCAAAGTGTGCGAGTTCCTTTACTGGATTGAAGACACCATGGCAGCCTATCCTTGAAGAAATTACTAATTTTCACTTTTATTTTTCTTCACTCCTCCCACTTGTTCCCCTCTATTCTCTGCAATACATGACCATAAATTCCTAATTTCTTTTCTATCTATTGTTCTTTCTCGGGTGCCTTGTCTCCTTTAAAGTTTCCCCCCTTATATATCCAGACTCAACACACTTCTGCCAGAATGTAGAAGACAAAATAAAACCACTTGGTATATATTCACTTTTCATTTGTCTGTTCATATTTTCATGCCAATAATGGGAAAAAAAATAAACCCGCCAAATCAAACCAATTAGAAGCTCAAGTATGTCAAGTGTGTCAGTTATAGGTTTATTTGTAATACCATGTAAGACAGTTTGATGGAGTTGTACATTTTAGTTTACTAAAATCACATAACATATTTATAAGAACAAACCTGTTGCATGGGTTCAATGACGAGGTAGCATATTTCTATTCTCTCATATATTCACACTTGATTTGTAATTGCCCCCTTCCTTTGTCCATGTAATTACATTTTCAAATATAAAACCTTTAATTAATTTCTATTATTTCATGGAGGCTCAGAAAACATGTTACAAAGAAGACAGTGCAGGTCTATACTCAGTAATCAGTTCTGAATCAACTGTGGAGATAATGGCAGTGTAATTATTGAACAGTAGGAGGCCTCACTGAGTAATTTTCCTGTCAGGCCCACCCACTCATGTCAACCACAACAGTGCATTGCAGCAGACATAAGGTCAGTAACAGTTATAAACATAACAACAAAAAATATTTTTACATTCACTTAAGGCTGATTTGTTGATTTAAGATATTTTAGTTGCCATGTATTTCTCACTTTATTTAAAGAGTCTTTAGCAGAGCTTGTTTTTCTGTCAGGACGACATTGTTCTTGTCATCTCTCCCAGGCTGCATTTGTCTTTTTTGAAGCCTGCTCTCCTTTCCTCCCTCTCTTTATGTCTTCGTCTCTGTTTGACTGGGCTGGAGGGTCCCATCCATGCAACGGCACCTATTGTACACAAACAAAAAGAGGTCATACTTAAATGTGCAATTCACATGAGAAATGCAAAAGTCTAAGGAGATGTAAGACACAAAATCCTGTTCCATAACCTCTATATCTGCTGTAAAATACTCACCTTTTATTTTAGAATGAAATACATCAACTTTTTAGATTGGGTGACTAAATTCTAGCATGAAACTAGTATTAGATTACAGCATGTGTTACTAGTGTTTTGAGAAGTGACTTTACTGGAGTTCTGCAGAATTACTTGAGGCTGAATGTTTACCTAAGTGATTCTCAAACTGGAGAGTTAGTTAGACCCTTTTCTGTTCCATTTTGTGTAGCAGAGTATTATGAGTGAGCCAAAATGCACAATGGCAGCACTCAACACTGTTTAATAGTGTCATTAGAAAAACCTGTGTTTACCCTAATATCTCATTTCAAAATGGCTGCTGTGAAAAATAGACTAAATAGAACGAAACATTTTGGCCTGCCAAACAAAGGTGTTAATACTAACATTATTAATTGCTTGAACTGAGCCATCATTATTTTATGAGTTCCACTTGTGCTTTTCTGCAATGACATGCCAAAATATCTGCTGTGAAAAGGATCTATGAGTATGATTCACTTGGGAACAATTAATGGAAGTAGTACGCAGAATAAAGTACAAGAATGAAAAAAAGAATAACAATTATTCAAAAAGTGTGCTCATTAAACTAACACAAACCCAATATATAAGAAATCCTGTCCAGCTCTGGAGTTAACTAACAATAGAGTATGGGGGCTTTGTGTTGTTTGTAGTTTAGCATTGTAGTTTAGCACTGAAATTGGCAAATGGGCTTTCATGTTCTTTGCCCCAGCAACCTGGAATGACTTGCAAACATTTTTGCAGCTAGACAGGCTGATCCCAATTAGAGCATTTAAAAATGTAGTTAAGGGCTTTGAGGCTAACTCAGCTGAAATTTGTAACTGCTTCCTCAGCTAGACCTGTTTCCTCCTGTATTCATTGGCATATAATTCTCTGAGCCAATACTGTGTGTTTTGTTTTATGCCCTTTGATGGCTTACAATATTGCACATTTTTTCAAGATCATTTGCATTGTGTAGAATAATCTCACTTCTATTTCGTTTGCACTGTGTGCAGTTGAAGAAACAAGCTTATAACATAACTTACTGTCAACATCCTTCTGAGAGGAAGAAGAAACTCTTGCTTCTGAGAGGAATTCAGCACTGTTTAAAAACAGAACAAGATAAAATTAACTGTTTAACAAGAACAAGTAAATCAAGAATCAGTTGAAAAATACTGGTTTAGTGAGTCTCAATGGAGGCAGCTGTCAATCACCTGTGGGACAGTGGGTATGACTGAGGCTGTCGAAACCCACCAGACCTCTCCTCGTCACTGCTGTCCTCTCCCTGACGCCTTAATGGACAAGACACAACATATTTTATAATAATAAAAATCATTCATATTATCCGGTTGCAGGTATGTATTGTTGACAATAAACAAAGGAACAATTAGGAAATGAAATGAACAAACATCAGCAATCACCTACAGTAATAAACAGCATAAACAGATTCTTAGGAATTTCTACTCTGCCTTACAATCAACTAGAATCGATTGTTTCTACAGTAATAATAATAATAATAATAATAATATTTGTATTTAAGTACTGTAGCTAACATATAGACGAATATATATATATATATATATATATATATATATATATATATAATATATCCTTATAATAGTAAAAATAATATATATAGAATAACACAGTCCACAACTAAATGCCTGATTTGTTTAAAATATACTTTTTATTAAAAGGTTTTTATTTTATAGACAAATTCATAAATAAATAGAGACATGCATAAAAAAACACTTATTATATTAAACCTTATATAAAATTAAACCTTCACACCACAAAACACACTACAAAATCAAACAGTCCATACATTTTTTTTATTTAACCTCTATTTAACCAGGAAGTCCCTTGAAATCTTTTTTCCATGGGAGATCTGCAATAACCTAACCTAATATAACATGCTGAATCTTTGCATAGCTGATTAAGATATTTAAAGACAGCTAGTGTGTTTCCAGCAATATGCTGAACACTTACAGTAACTTAGTGGAAATTGGTCCTCTTGGTTCCCTTATAGAAAAGTGTCCAAATCCTTATCTCAGTAGCAAATAGTCACACTGTAGACTGTTAGCAGCATGCCCAAATTAAGGCTCTTGAATGTTTCTAGTATACATGTAGACTAACTCATTGTTTCCCCTTTACTGCTCTCAGTGTCTCACCTGTTCATGCTTGTGTGTTCTTTGTGTCTTTTATGTGCTTCATTACCACTGTGGGCCTGCTGAACAGATGAAATGTCACAAAGATTGTACAGGCATCAGCTACCACACATATCCACATTACGGTTGGTGAGTCTCTGCAGTACTGTGCATGAATTAACATTCCTAGTTTAGTGTCTGTGAGGATGGAGAAAATGAACACATCACACCAACAATATGTAAATAGCTTGAGTGTCAGTGGGAACTTGCCGAACGAGAGTGGGAGTGTTTGGCTGGTGTCTGGCATTGGCTGGAGGAAGATGGACAGTGTGGGGCAGTGCTGTTTTTAGGGGGCAGAGGTGGAACGCTGTGGCGGGACCTTGGGACCTGGTAATCCAAACTTGAGAACTGTTGAGAGAAAATGTTGGTAGTGACTTTAAATTTATTTTTCCTTGGCAAGCATTGGTTTAAAATTACAGTAGGAGACTTGGGGTGAAGATACATGTTGGAGGGTCTAAGGATAGAATGTGTCATATTCTGTACAGATTCTAAAGCCCCTTGAGGCAAATTTTGGATTTGTGTTGTTGGGCTTTATAAAAAAAGGCTTATTGCAAGCGAGGTGCCTGGATTTTAAGATATAATTCCTGATATAGACTAAATGAGTTGCAAACACATAGAAACAACAATAAGAGTCTACATGCTAAACCAAATCCAAATGCCAATATCAACATGCAAACATGCTGCTTACAATGACAAGGCTAACATACTGAAGCTAAACAGGTATAGTGTTCAACATGTTCCCCATTGTAGTTCAGCATTAGTTTAGCACTGAAATAGACAAACGGGCTTTCATATTCTCTACCCCTGCAACCTAGAATGACTTGCAAACATTTTTGCAGCTACACTGATCCCCATTTTATTCAAGGGCTTTGAGGCTAACTCAACAAGTAATTTGGATTTATCATCTGGTGACAATAAATATCTGTACAAAATGTTGTGCCAATCCATTCAGGTAGAATATTTTCACAGGTAAAGGAAAAGCTTGTGAACTTCCTAAGTGGGCTAGATGAAAAACCTTCCTCTGGGGACCATGAATATCTCAACCCAATAGATGTTGAGCTATTTCAGCATGGACCAAAGTAGTGGACCGACCAACAGACCTACATTGCCAGTGGCTAATGTGATTAAAACTATACAAAACAAATACACATAAATGTATTCACACACCTTCTTCAGGGCAGCCATTTCTTTTACTACCAGTTCAATGTCCTCATGGGTCTCGTCCTCTGCATCATCCTCACCCTCCTCCTCCTCCCACTGACCACTGCCTGGCAGGTAGGGCTCGATGAGGATCGTCTCTGTTCCTCTGATATCGCAGCGACAGTATGGGCAGGTGTGGCCTGCTGACTTCTGCTAGATAATTATCGATGACAGGTCATGGGCAGAGTAATGGAAACATTATATGAGTGAAGACGCATTCTCGTACAGAACAACTTCATCTCTTTTGAACTGTGTGTAGTGGAATATGTTGGACTTATCTTCAAAGAAAAAAGCCGCCACTTTTTCAAAAGATAAAGGTGGTGGAAAATACTACGTTCAACAGACACTGTAGATTGTGGTTTTCCACAGATGAAGCCACATTTTACTCTTTCTTTGACTTTAGCATGCATGTTTTGTGTTTACGCTCATATCATGCATTTTTTGTTGATTCCTGTGACCCCCAATAGTGCAGAGACAGTCTGTCCATGTTTTTTTTTCAGTTTTTTCAGAGCGCTCCTGTTATTTAATATTGCAGTTTGTCTGACTACCTGTACACTGCTTTGAAAATCATTGTTAAACTGTTATTTTCCTTACACTCATCAAGGTATTCTATTGTAAACCCACTGCTGATGAGGAAGTTTGCTTGACCACAATCTAGACTAACTTACAACTTTTACATTGTGGTCTGACG